GAAAGCAAACAGCACTCAAATTTGGGTGTAATGACCCAGAAACAGGAGGATCAATATAATTCAAAGCCAGCGTGGGATACATAGAGAGGTCCTGTTTTAAACAAACCCACAGACAAAGCATGCAAGAAAACAAAATGGCTAAACTCAGCCTTCAAAGAGAAAAGCTAAAGATAACCCACACCTGCTATAACCCACTCTGTTTACCAGCACAGAGTCCTCCCTAAGGTTCTACCTAGCAGTGGTTAAGTTTCTACCACACAAGCTTTGAGAGACACTTTGAAACATAGCAAACTACATACGAGAACAGGTCAATTGGGTAAAGAGAACTTATACACACAATTGTGTGGTCATGTCCTTCTAAAACAAGATCCAGGCTGGGTGGTGGTGGTGCACACCTTTAGTCCCAGCTCTCACGAGGCAGAGGCAGGCAGATCTCTGTGAGTTTAGTTTCCCCACCTACTTCTATTCTGCCCTGTGCAGGCCTAAGACAGTTTCTTTATTAACCAATGGTATTCACAACGTACAGAGGGGAATCCCACATCAATCTTCCTGTCATGTTGCTGCTCAAGACATGTTTCTGTCTGTACGTCCCTAGGAAATTTTATCCGGTTTGCTTCTGGAACCGTCTCTTTCTTTCTCTGGTCTCCTGGCATCTACCATGTTTGGCTTCAGTTCTGGTACATCAGAGACAGGTTTGCTGAAACACACTACATCCCTCCTGAGTGCAAATGACTTGGAAGCTTTGTTGGGACATTTCCTTTTCATTATTTCTGTTATCCTAAATTCAAGTGAAGTGAACCTTCCAGTGTTTCAGAGTTTGTCCACCTCAGCTACCACAGATCTGTAAGGAAAACAGGGTGTGCTTTGTGATTTTTAAGGGTGTGCCTTGATTTTTAAAATATATTTTCTGCATGGTAATCTTTAGGAAAAAATCCTAAGATCATCTTATTTCTTTCTTCTAAATTGGTATACAGTATTCTCAGATACCAAGTGTGAGCATGCTAGTGAGAATATTTTTTA